TGATGGCCCTGCAGGAACAACCTTGTGTTCTCCTCTTTTAAATGTAGAGTTCTATATTTATCTGACAATTATATCCAGCTTCAGGCTATAAAATAATTTGTGTGTATATTTCAGTTGATGGAACATTTTATATATTACATGCTTTATACATAGATAGATAATAGATTGGTAGCTACATAGACATTGAATATCTTAGGGCCATTTAATGATTACCCAGCTATCTCTCATCTATCTAGGGTATGCTGTGGTGGGTCTGTGAGGTAAGTGCTGGATTGCTAATCACAAGATCGACAGTTCAACACCACCAGCCACTTGAAGGGAGAAAAATGATGCTGTCTGGTCCCATAAAGGTTTACAACCTTGGAAACTATGTAGAGTGGCTATGAGTTGGAATTGACTCGCTGACAATGGGTTTGAGTTTTTGGTGTTATGTATACAAGTTGGTTTCATATAAATACATAGACATATACACACCTATGCATACACATACCTGTGTATGCTTGCATAAGTGCATATATGTGTATCTGCCCATATATGTCAAGTTTTGAATGTGCTGTGAAACCTGTGAGAGTCGGAAATTTGTGGGACTGCCTTGCATTTCATTTTCCATAGTTTTCTGTGTTTCATAGGGTGCAGCCTTAGCACTTGTCTGGAGCTCAAGTTATTGGGCAACATTTGAATTTCTCTTCCCCTAACAGGTTTCTGCTTTCCCCTGGTGCCGGGTGTGCATCCTTTCTCGTAGATGCCATGTGTTGCCTGGGAAAAGTGCTTCCTGTCAGACAAGCAGTCCTGTGACGGCCAGTGTGCCTGCACTGCATGACAAATTCTATTCTCTGGTAATAGACTAATCAGCCATTGAGGGCTGAGATAAATCAATAGACGACATAGCATCCACTCGGGGGCTTCTATTCCCAGGCGGCCAGCTGCCCTCGTGCCTATACTTTGTAAAATGTCGATCTCTTCTTTTGAGCAACTGACACTAAGCCATTTGGCAGTCATCAATTTGTCTTTAATATTTTTGTCCTCTGGGAATTATTGTGAAAAATTTGAGTGAGGGCTGATTTAATTAGGCACTTCCTGCTATGCCATGATAGAGGAGTCTTGGTTTTTCACATGCATAATATTTCCTGTGCTAATTGGCCTTTTGTATTGCATGGTAAAAACAGCCGACTTGGACTTTTCCTTGATGTGGCTGATTGGATTGATTAGGGAGCAGTGGATATGAAATGAGGTTCTGTTAATGTCACTCCTTCCTGTGAAATTGCAATCAGGACGAGGATTCGCTCTGAATTTGTGTACATGTTTCCTTTCAGTTTGCAAGTACACGGTCCACGAGCGCTGTGTCGCTAGAGCGCCTCCCTCTTGCATCAAGACCTATGTGAAGTCCAAGAAAAACACCGATGTAAGTGGGTGGCCCTGCGGCTTTCTGAGGGCGGTGCTTCGAGGTGCTTCCTCTTACCCGCTTGCTGTTCTGTTCTAGGTGATGCACCATTACTGGGTGGAAGGCAACTGCCCAACCAAATGTGACAAGTGCCACAAAACGGTTAAGTGTTACCAGGGCCTGACAGGACTGCACTGTGTTTGGTGTCAGATCACAGTGAGTAATGTGGTGGGGGGTGGGGAGGGGGAGCACTCACATTGGCTCACCTTCCAGACTGTGGATTCCATATCCTCTTGAGAGCCCTATGTAAGGAGGCCTCCTCAGCTTTTATGTGAAGGCAACACGAACATGGGGGATTCTTGTTGCATCTGTTTTTCAAAGGGAAAGCTGCACATTTGGTTCTCTCCCCATAGATTCCAAAATTGCCCCCTGATGACAATCTTAGACGTTAGACCATTATATAGTTTTCAAACTCTCCTCCTTGGAAATTCTAGAAATTACCAGGAAGGTATTCAGAGAGTCAACTCAGGCCAGGCTGTGGGAATCCCCCCCCCACTCTTCCCCGACAAGCCCATTTGGGTACAGTGTTGGTCTCCATGCGTCTCAGACTCATGGTACTCTCTTTTCCAATGTCTCACTGACTTCTTTCATCCGCTACATCATACGAGACACGGAATGCAGCTAGAAACACAGTAATTAAAGGTCCTCTTAATGGAGCGAGAAATGAGAAGTTTGTCAATCCCGAAACTTTAGGAATCTACCTAGTTTGAATAGTTGTCAGAGCCTCATCAATGAAATTCTGGAATAAATAAGGTTGCAGAGGGTCCTGTAGGAGTCCTGTAGTGTTTAATGTTTAGAAAATAGTTAGAATGCACATTTTCAACGACTGCCACTTTTGGTATTGTACTGCAAAACCTTGACGGGAACGGGTTTTTGGTTGTTTGTTTTTCTAGCTAAAGCTAACGAGTCCATTTCCTAAAGGAAAAAGAGTTCTTGCTTTACCAGAATCAGGGCACTCTGAATCAGCTGCATGCACAACTTTGCCGGTAGTATCAGGGCCGCACCACAGAATTTTAATAAGTTTTCTTAAACGTGCACATTCACACATAGACATTGAGTAGTGAGAAGAACAAACTGACTTTCAAACATAATATAAGTACTTTTTGTTTAGCCCCTAATCATTTTATCAGGGGCTCATAGAACTCATCACAATCCGTACATACATCATTTGTGTCCAGCACATTAGTGCATATGTTGACTTCATCATTCTCACAACACCAGCTTTCTACTTGAGCCCTTGGTGTCAGCTCATTTTTCCTCCTCCTTCTCCCCTCCCACCACCCCTTAACCCTTGATAATTTATAAATTATTATTATTTTTTCATATCTTACACCATCCGACGTCTCCCCTCACCCACTTCTCCGCTGTCCGTCCCCCAGGGAGGAGGCCATAGGTAGACCTTGTCATCTGTTCCCCTTTCTTCCTCCTCTTCCCTCCACCCTCAAAGGCCACACTGCAGTCCCTCCGCTCATTAGCACACTTTTTCTTTGCGTCTTGAGGCCACACCCCCAAAGCAACGAGGCTCCTCCTGTTACAAGAGAGAGTTACTCCCTTGGCATCTACCAGACCATTGATGATCCAGGGAACACAAGACCATGTGTTCATGATATTTTGTTGTTATTAAGGTACATCAATGTGATGCCATTAGGCATTATAGCAGAGCTCAATATAAGCTGGAAAAGTGTTTAAATCTTTAAATTTTTTCCATCAGAACAAAAACAAAACTAAGGTTTACGGAAGAGCCAGGCGAGAGGAGAAAGAGAGACCAAGACAGACAGAGAAACGGGTGGCCTCTGACTAAGTTCTCCCCAGACTTGATTTTTATCTGTTGTAAACTATGCGCTTTGGGGTTTCTATGAATATGCATGTGGCTCTTTGAACAAGGCTTGCTTCACTATTTTTACAAAATATTTTTGTACATCTAGAAGAATGGCTTGATTTCTAATAAATAATTTCAATCTCAATGTACTTCAGAGTTTTAATTTTAAATAATCCCAGGACCAAATTAATCAATATATTGATTTTCGTTTCAAGTTATATGTCAACATAAGAACATTTACATAATTACATATAATTTAGCTTTCTTCTTGAGCCATTGTATAAAAATATTGTGAAATTTATATGCTCTCAACTTATGGCTACTGACAATTGCCTACCATCATCTAAATTTAAGCAAATTGAGTTTACTTTATTTTGTCCCTAGGCTTCCCTGAAAGTGAAATTAATCTAGTAAGGAGCTAGCAAAAGCTTTGCGAGTGATGAGATCAGACACCCTCAGTTTTATACTTTAGTTTCCTTTCTGAATGAAGAGCATAAAGAATTGAAGTGAAGAGATGTAAAAGAAGGAAGCTTGGTTTCATTTCAGTACTTTTCCAAAAGAAAATAGAACAAAGCATGACTTCTCTCTGTATCCTTCTTTGAGGAATTATTTGAATCTTATATTGACACCAATCTAATTTCTTAATATGGTCAATTACTAGTTGTGTTAGCTTGGGCCAGACACATACCTTGCTTTAGCCAGATTTCTAACTTTTAAAAAGGAGTTAGTGATATCTATGCTGTAGGACTACTATAAATGATAAGTTAAATGAGTAAATGACCATGTAGATGTATTTAGGATTTGGCGTAATATATCAAATGTGCTCTATAAGTTTACAGAGTGAGCATTATGTAAAATAAAATGTAGGTGGTCAACATCCAGGCCCTTATACACTGAGGACACTCCATGAATACTGTTCATGCGGTGTTTCTCACCTCGGGAAGAATGCATAATGGCGCAGTCTTAAGTCAGAGGAAAAGTAGTATTGTGTGCCGGTCCTGAATTTTCAAAGCACCTAGCATGAAACGATCCTGACACTCACTATGTCCTAGATGAAAAGGACATGTCAGTCTCACAAAGAGCAGCTAGCTTAGCTCTCATTTCAATCAGACATGGTTGCGTCACGCGTCCAGTCACTGGAAGTAGTTGGAAGTCCCTGTGTTTCGCTCTTGTCGTTCACCTTTGTCCCGTATACTCAACCCATCACTGAGCGCCGACACTGTCGTCAGAAATAGCTCTCAGATTTGAGTCTGCCTCCACATTCACAGACCTAGTGCAAGCTCTTAGCACCTCTTGGCTAGATTAGAGTCAGAATCTCTTGGCTTCGCTCTGTAACAGAAGGTACTTTTCCTATAATGCAGGCAGCATCCCACCTCCAGAAAGATCTTCTGAAAATACTCATTCGTTATCATATGCCCTCTCCAGCAACCTATCAGAGTTCTGGGATAATACACGCAGCCTTTGCCTCCCCCCCGTCTCCACCTGGTTTGCAGTTCCTCAAAATTCAGACCTGAACCTAAGCACATGACTATATATAACATTCCTTTCCTGCATGTACCGTCTGCAGTAGCTGCACATCTCGTAGCGCTCCCCAGGGAAGGACACGTTCAGTTCACCCCTTCCTGTTACTTTGCTCTCCCTATTTCACTGAATGCCTCCTCCTTAAATTCCAACTATATCTCAAGAACTAAAGTTAGTTTCCTATCTCTAGTAAAAGTTATCCTGACACTGGTGTTTATCGTTTTCAGAACTTGTGTACTTTCATTTCACACCGTCTCTCTCACACACAAGGACTTAGGACTGATTCTCAATGTGGCCACTACCCTCAATGCTAGGTATGGTCAGCTCCAACACCAGGTTCATGTCAGATTTGCCCCCTAGTCTCCCAAGGTTTGGAACAGAATGTTGGGTTTAGAAGTGTTCAATAATTGTGCTTTTAATGTTGACCTTTAAGTGCATGCACTCTTTATTTCTTTAGCCATTCTGAAATAGTTAAGTCTATTATCAGATAAGCTAAAACCAATAGTTTAAGATAAACTATTTCACACCTTTTATTTTGTTAGTACCTAAGGCTTTTTTTATATCATCCTAGTTTGCCATGTTGTAGGTGAAAGCTAGATTCTTAGGACTGAGTGATACGTCCTTCTGTAAAATGAAACAACTTTTAAATACTCCTAGGTAAGGATAGAATAGTAGAAAAGTACCTTCGAACATCTGACATTCTCTTGGCTCCTTCTCTCTACTTCTTATATTTTGTTTCCCTTAAGATTTCATGAATCACACCAGTTTATTTATGCGGGGGGTGTGTTTCCTTGACTTTTTATTTAGTACATGTGAACATTGCTCCTTATCATGGTAAAATTGTTCTCATTCAGGCAGAAATCGCGAGGAGAGTGGTTAATTCCTTTTACTTGGGTTTGATGAAAGATAGTCTATGCTTATAGCTAGTAATTATTTATGTTTTCTATCACATATAATGTTACTCATATTAAATATGAAAAAATAAGCTATTTGTTGTTTAACTCTTTTCAGTGGCAGGGATTATGCTTTCCTAAATTCCAACTTGAGGCAGCGCCTTGCTGGCGACTGATAGGAGAAATATCTGTGGGATGCATAGACAACTGCACCTGTCAGCTTGTCTAAATCTCCTTAATTAATGACTGCACTTCTCCTTTTGCTCTAAATTCTTATTAAAATGTTAGCTTTATTGCTCCCACTTTTAACTTCTTAGATTCCACATTTTTCTTCTCCATAAAGCACACTGTTTTCTCAACTTCCTCTGATACGCAACCATACAACTCTATCTCTCTCTCTCTCTCTCTCTCTCTCTCTCTCTCGCTAACTTGAGATAGCTTTTTCCAGCAATTATAAATCTGGCTCTAAATTAGGTTGACCTGGAATTTTCCACACGTTATATCCAATCTTACAATTTATTTGCAGGCAAGGCTATTTCTTATAATTTAAAGGTCCTAGATCTATAATAAAACTCACTGCTATAAAGTCAATGCTAAGTCTCAGCAATTCTGCAGGACAGGGCACAATTGCCCTGTGAGTTTCTGAGGCTACGACCATGGGAATAGGAAGCTCATCTTTCTCCCTTGCAGCAGCTCGTGGCTTCCAACTTCTGACCTTGCAGATTGCAGCACAACTTGTAACGACTACCCCATGTGAGCAAATGGTATGCCTTAACGTGAACGGACATTTTTGGACACCTAAGAAATTTATGATCTGAGAGTTTCTAAGTTCTTTACATCTTTAGAAGTAATTTACTTCTTTAGAGGGAGCATACTTCTTTAAAAGTAATCTAAAGATATCCTAACAAAAAGAGAAATATTGCGGAAAATAGATAACATTCTTTTCTAGAGTGTTTCATTATACTGAAGAGGCAGGCATTATTTATGAATGCTTGTTTATTTATATTCTTGGTAAGGACATTTGTGTGACTTTAGAACTGGTTGTGTTTAAAGTAATAATTAGTCTTCATATTTGGTTCACAGTGAGAACTTAGCCATTTATTTTCTTATGTCCTCAGGACTCGCTGCCCTTAAGTTGATCCCAACTCATAGTCACCCTGTAGGACGGGGGGAACGTCCCCTGTGAGTATGGAGACAATAATTCTTTATGGAAATAGGAAGCAGATGGCAGTTGTGAGCTGCTGGTCTTGTGGTTGCCTCAGGGGTCCTCCTTCTAAATAGTAGTCCATAAAATTTCAGGCTCGAGAGTTTAAGCACAGTGTTGTCATATGCCCAGCAGTGCCCGTTCACATTATGGGATGCCATTCCAGATCCATGAGGAGAAGTGTCCTCAGCTTCGACACGCTTACTTCCAAATAATGACATATCTTTTTAAATCATTTGATTGGGGGCTCTTATAGGTCTTATCACAATCCACACATCCATCCATGGTGTCAAGAACATTTGTCCATTTGTTACCATCATCATTCTCAAACCATTTGCTTCTACTGGAACCCTTGTATCAGCTCATTTCCCCCTTTCCCCCACTCTCCCTCCATCATGAACCATTGATAATTTACAATTTTTTTTCATGTCTTATACCGACCGCTGTCTCCCTTCACCCACTTTTCTGTTGTCCATCCCCATGAGAGGGGGTTATAGCTAGATTATTGTGATCAGTTTCACACACACACACCCCACTTTCCCCTTACCCTCCTGATATGGCTATTCTCATTATTGGTCCTTAGGACCAATGTGTTGCGAGCTCTTATCTTTACTAATGTACATGCTCTGGTCTAGCTAGATTTGTAAGGTAGAATTGGGGTCATGATAGTGGGAGGGAGGAAGCATTAAAGAACTGGAGGAAAGTTGTATGTTTCATCAGTGTTACACTGAATTCTGACTGAATCATCTCTCCCTTGTGACCCTTCTGTAAGGAGATGTCCAATTGTCTACAGATGGGCTTTGGGTCTCCACTCTGCCCTTCCCCTCATTCACATCGATATGGTTTTTTTTTTTTGGTTTTTTGTTGTTTGTTCTCTGGTTCTCTTGTGATCTCATGGTTTGGTGTGCATCTTCCATGTGGGCTTTGTTGCTTCTCAGCTAGATGGCTGCTTGTTTATCTTCAAGCCTTTAAGACCCCAGACCCTCTATCTTTTGATAGCTGGGCACCAGCAGCTTTCTTCACCACATTTGCTTATGCACCCATTTTGTCTTCAGCGATTGTGTAGGGAAGGTGAGCATCACAGAATGCCAGGTTATTAGAACAAAGTATTTTTGCATTGAGGGAGTGCTTGAGTAGAGGCTTAATGTCCATCAGCTACCTTAATACTTAACATATACATATATGTACATAGATCTATTTCTCTATTATTATATGAAAATAAATATTGTTACATATGTACGTGCCTGCATTTAGACCTCTGTAAATGTCCTTTTTCTCCTAGTTCTTTCCTGTATTTCCTTTACCTTTCCACTTGTCCCACTCTCATGTCCGGCCTTCATTTGGGTTTCAGTAATTCGTCTCAGCTACACCCTTGATCAAGCCCTACTAGTCATCTTACACCCTCCTCACCATTGATTTTAGATCACTTGCTGTTTCCTTGTCCTGGGGTTTGTTTACACCCCCTTCTTTCTCTCACTACGCTCTCCCATGCGTGCCCCCCCCCCCAACCATTGGTCCTGTTGTTTTCTCCTCTGGATTGTTTATCCTGCCAACTCATCTACATAGACATGCAGAGAAAATAATAAGCACAAAAACAAGACAAAGCAAAAGGAAATAATGACATCATATCATCAACAACAACAAAACAACAAAAAATAAGAAAAGCCTATAAATAGTTCCAGGTGTTTGTTGACCTTTAAGGAGTGTTTTCTGGTTGGCGGAGTCTGATGGGGTGCCACACCCTGCCCCAAGTCTATTTGGGGTATTCCATGGGGCTTCATTGCTCTGCTCCCCTTGCTGCTCTGTTGCACGCCCTTAGTGTCCCCGCCCCAACCCCCCCACCACCCCCCCCCCCGGTGCGGTGGGGTCAGATCACCTGACAGTGTTATTCTTGATGACCAGAATTCAGGCTAAATCAAAGTATTATTGCATAAAATTAACTCCTGCAGATATCCTGATTAGGAAGCATTTTCTGAGACCCTTTGAGACTCTGTGTTCTGGTTAGCAGCATTCTTAGTGAACCCACAATGTTTATTTTCCTGCAGGTTTCTCCTTTGCACCTGTTTATCCATTGCTCATAAATGTGGGCTGCAGTGGATATTAAACTTTAAAATCCAATACAGGCTTTGTTTAGCTCTGTATGGGCCAGTGTTTCGGGAGCCATTTGCTAGTACTTCTGTTGAGCTTTCTAAACCAAATAGGAAGGATTAACCCCTTATCTTCTCATCCACTTGTAAATCCCCTTGAGTCCTCAGTTCTTTATTTTGGGAAGGAAATCTAACCTGAATGACAAAATTCTTTTTTAATTTTTCCCCAACTCTTCTTACACCTTGAAAGAGAGGTCAATAATCCCTCATAGTATCAAAGAGTGCTTTTAGGAGAACAAGGGACGAAAGGCTAGAGGCATGTGAGGCCTGCCGCCTGTGGATAAATCCTGAGCCTACATGCATGTGGTCACTGGTGGCTTCCGACACAGGGGCCCTGTTCCTGTTCCTCAGAGTCATGGGTGTGTCTTTCCATCACACATCTCACTTTACACACACAGGGTTTTTATCTTGGACCTTGCTGTTTGTGGAGGTATCTGAGAGATAGAAGGCTCAGTTTTAAAGCAGTTTTCAAAATTAAAGAGCAAAAGCCTTTTTCTCTGTGATGACCGTGGTACAAAGAAGCCTACTGTCCGGTTCAGTTTTCATGGTGCCTAGTTATCTATTATTTCTGAACCGAGATATACATGACCATGATTTACTTTAGTAAAATGTATTAAGTTAAACTAATATTCTATTTAAACTAATCTCTAATGTTATTTCGAGGAAGCTATGCATTTCAATTTGCCAAATCACAGTGTCATTTTATTTAGTTCTTTCGTACATGTGGTTTCAACAATGTCTTTCCTCTTCAACACCTCTTGTCTCTTGTTAGGCACCAGCAGGGCCTCATAAGAAGATTAAGTCATTTTTTAATAGGGAAGTTTATGTGCTACCAAGAAGCAGAGCTGCTAATTATGGAGAATTAGTAAAGATATTTTATTTCATGTAATGTGACTTATTTTACATGAATGAGAGAACCAAGTGGCCTTAGTTCTTAGGTTTATACTATAGGCAGGAAATTCATGTGAAAAATGTTATATTCTAGAACCACAGAAATGCTTCTTCAATATAGTTCCTATCACCAATATTAAATCACCACGCATTATGCTACCATTTTTAGTTGCTAATTAACTGCTTAGAGGTACATTTACTATTGAAATTTATGTAACCATGGCTTAAAAGGTACAGTATGCTGTGCAAAATTGAGAGTTCGTCTCTGTTTTTTCTCAAAGATAAGTGTCTAGTGTAAGTTTCATAAATAAATTAATATGCAACAGGGAGAGAGGAACCCCTAGATGCCTTTAAACAAAGTATTATTTTATCAGATCTGTGATTTTGATAACATCTACTGTTTTGGTTTTTAAATGTCACTATTTAATATCCCACATTGTAATGCTTTAATTTAAACATGTTGCCCACATTGAAAAAAAATCATCTTCAATTCATACACGATGAAAACTAAATAGCACTTTGTATGATTCTACACTAACTTAACATGGAGCTGATAAATACAATATAAAGATAAAATTTTATCATCATAATCATCTTCTTATGTTTATATCCTGTTCCCACTGAGACAAATCTCTGGTTTCATTTACATATTGAATTACGGAGCAAAACTAATGATGGGATCAATTATGCCCCATACTGAGTGGTGCACTTTGGAATGACTTTGAGAAAACAGGAGGGTCAAAAACAAAAATCGACAGTGCACCATGGTTTCAAGATGATGACAACGGCAAATCAGCAAAGAATGAACGTGATGGACAATGATTTGTGTTTGTTAAGGAAACCAGGCTTCCTCAATGTAAAACCTGAAGTGCACTTTTAACATAAGTGTTTCTGACGGTTTGAGAATTCATATGCTACGTCACAGAAATTGCTAACTGTCTTAATAAAGGTAGATACCTAAGGGAAAATGTAATCCAAGTCTATGACTTATTTATTTATTTTTTGTAGTGTTTAAATGTCTTCTTCATGTGTTTTCAGGTTCTCGGTTGAAATATCATTTGTCTAATGGTCACTGTTGTCATGCAGCATTTGACATCGTCTCTCTTTTCCCTTCTCTAGCTGCACAATAAATGCGCTTCTCATCTAAAGCCCGAATGTGACTGCGGACCTTTGAAAGACCATATTTTACCGCCCACCACAATCTGTCCCGTGGTACTGGTGAGTTTCTCTTCTCATATTCCGGCTACATCTCTGGACCACTTTCACTACCAGGCGGACTAGACCACTGCTAAATGCTTTCAGATGCTGATGTGTCATTAATCAAGGCAGAAACGATACAGATTTAAACGACTGCATCCCTTTAGAGGAAGAACTACATGTTCTTCGCCGTATCTCCTTTTTCCTCCATATCATAAGTCTTTTTTCTTTAGGTGTTCTCTAACTAAAGCTGGCTCAGGTTTTATCACTTAGATCTGCTGTACTTACCAGAAACTGTACAGGCAGAATACTTCTACATTTTACATATTTTATAGATCTAGCTTCCCAGAATAATGAAGTTATTCTTATAGACAAATTTGCTGGGGATGCAGATTATATATCTGCAAAGTTCAGGTCTCTCCTCTAGGTCAGGGGCTCCCTAGAATGATGACACACACCGAGCTGAAAGCTAGACACTACCATTAGGTTTATTTTATTGTTTATGAGTGAACAATAAATTTCATTACCTCCAAAATAATTACTTAATAAATATAGCAGTGAATAATGCATAAAAGTAAGGCAACTCTGAAAGAACAAACTAGAGTGAGAGGCTGGTATTTAAAGGCAGGATTAATATTACATTATAAAATCCAAAAAAATATTTTTCCAACATGAAATAGTTCTTTTAAAAAGCAAACTAATCTTACATCTATAATGCTCTTCTCAATTTAAAAACACCATGAAAATTAAATGAGTGAAACTTCATCTTGATATAATAAAAATACAACTAAGAAATGCTAGACAAATACTTTTCTAAAGGTCAACATAGAAATTAATCAAATTACTCAATTTACACCCACTTATGATTCATTTTGTAATTATCTGTAAAATACTGGTTGTATTTTAAATGCCTTTATTTAACAAAAAATTTTTTAAAGCTCTTTCATACTCTCAAACTACAAAAGCAGAGAAAAATAAAATGTCTCAATCTTGTTGAGATAACAATCACTAATTATAAATTTCCTTTTTTAATATAACATTTATGGGGCATTCTGTAGCAATTAAGATTAATTAAAGTAATGAGGACCATATAAAAGTACTTTACATTTTAGATTAATTTGATGTTCTTTTTATTTTTTATAATGATATTTTATATAGCCAGGATGTCTGAAACCTTTATATTATCTTCATTCTTATTTAAATACTGTGTAATTTTATTGGATTAAATGCTTCCTTGATCTACCTTTGAGCCCTGGGAAGAAGTTTATTCCACTGCTCAACTGCCTTTTTTAACCCCTTTTTCATTCACTGGGGCTGGACCGAGTTCCGGAACGCACTCTGTCAGCACATGGCCATATCAATCCAGCAAGAACGGATTGCACTTCGTACACTGCCTCTTCATTCTTTGAGAGAAGCAAGGATGAAAAATAAAGTTCATTATGAATATTTTTATCTTCTCACTGCCTTGCAAGCCCTGTCCTTGTCATAATGAGACGTTTTGATTCTAAAGTTTATTTTCAATGAACGCACCCTCCTAGGATCTCTATCATGATTTGTACTAACCATTTGCCCTTTGACCATCCCCTCAGTATGTGCCGCCCTGAAGTATTTAATACTATTGGCCATTTCATTCTTTTAAAATAAATGTCTTTACTGATTTCCACTTTACCCTAGGTTCATAGTTCTTCTTGCAATATTTCTCTGGATCTTTGCTTTCTGGGTTTTTTTTGGGTTCTACTATTCAGCCTGCTTTAGGTTAGTACTTACCTGTGTCCTAGCCTCACATGCCACATCTTTCAACTCTAAGTAGTCTGCTCAATAAGATCTGGTTTACGTAGAGGAATCTATTACCACGCAAGCATTGAACTCATCCTCCTATTTTGAATTCCAACTTAGAGTCCCATGCTGCGATAACCAGTAGTTATTGAGCATAGAGTTTCACTATGGCTGTTTTAACATATGAATTCATCATTCACCTGAACTAGGTGTCTATTCTGTCAAAAAGCAAAACTGTCTTAAGTGTGCAAATATCAATAACAGGAAAGCAAATATTTGCTTTCATAGCATTTACATTTAAGTGGGGACAAATGGATGATAAACCATATAAGTAAGCGGATATTTTTCACTTTGTATATTATGCTGGCAATATTTTAAAAGAAAATTCATTGGAAAATAAGAACAACAGAGAAACGAATGAAAAGAAGGAAAAGAAAAACCCTCACTGTTATCGAGGGTTTTATGACTGACAGAGCTCATATATAGGATTTCTGAGGCTGCAAACCATTCCAAGGGCAGGCAGTCTCACTGCCTTCCACAGAGTGTCTAGTGGTTTTGTGCCACCAACCTTACAGTGGTTAGCCCAGCGCTCACCCACAGTGCCACCATCGTTTCTTAAAAGTCTAAGAAAGAATTAAATGCCGGGATGTAATTGTAAAATAAAATGGTCAAGAAAGTGTAAAATAAAATAGTCAAGGAGATAGTTGAGTGAAGAGCTGAGGAATGCATGTAAGAAAGCACATGGCCACCTGGGCAAAGTACTTTCTGCACAGCTGAACGAGAAGGTGCGTGGTATCTGCGGTGGGAGAAAACTAACATGCCTATCGGGCATCGCCGAGATGAGTGGATCTGGGTGAGCAGAGGGACAGCTACTAGGAGAAAGTCAACGATGCTATAGGGCTCCAGTTGACAGGGGAATTTTGGTAACACTAAATTTTTTGCCTTTTTTGTTTAGTTAGTAGGAATTTATTAGATGATTTATCCAGAAGGAGGAATGAGCTCATTTGTCATTAAAATGCATAGATAACCCAACTGTTCTTTTAAAGGACAAACAGGACGAAACTGGGGAAAATGCTTCTATTTTCTTAGAGAAAAAAGAAGCTTGGTCATTAGAAGAGAGTGACGATTTCGTATGCAGTATGAGAAGGTTGAGGATTGGTAAGACGTGGAAAGAGTCATGTAGAAAAGTGGAAACTTAACGGATCACAACACTCACATATAACAGCTAGGAAGTCCTGAGGAGCTCATGCTGATCACTGATCATAAACCGAGTATAATACCAGTTATGGTGAATGAATCTATTTCCCTAGTCATTTTCAAATATATATCTTTAGTTATATTTTTGCATCAGGAATAAAATAGACATAGCTCAATCTTTTTTTTCCTAAGCACTAGGCCTTGGTCAGGTATGATTAAAAGATAGAATAGCTTATAAAATTGAGAATATATGTGAGTTCATGATTAAACTGACTGGCACTGGACCTTCAGCTGGGACAGAAGGGACGTGGAGATGTGAAGCGTGATGCACAGTCCTGAATGCTCAGCACCCTCCATTGGAGTGGCGGCGAGGCACCCGCTATTGTAATGGATGTTGTGGAGCAGACTTTGTAAACTGCGATAGAGTCAAAGATTCCATTGTTGTTGGTGCCGGGTTATAAGAATGAGTGAGGGAGTAATTGCTATTATGAAGAGTTTCAGTTATTAATACTGACTTGCATTAATTAACTTAATTCTCAAAAATCACTTCATAGACTAAAGATGAAAATACCCCTCATTTTACATATGAGGAAACAGACAAGAGAGGTTACTAAATTACTTCTGATAATGTGACAGATAAATGATAATCTAGGGTTTCATTCTAAGTGTTAGCCATCCAGAGCCCATGAACCACGATCAACATTCCCCTCTTTTTTCTAAATCCTAATTGGGACCTTCTCCTATGTGTCTTATCATACTGGCTAATACCTTCTAACTCATTTCTCTCAAGTCAGTAACCTCATCATCCTCTTGGATTTCGCATTTGAGCATCAAATTAATCCTCAGGCGATTTATCCTCGTATCCTTATTTTGATTTTCTCCAGCTTGGCTGCAGTTGCTTTACACGTCACCTCCACGGTGAGGTCTACGAGGGGCACAGTGGAAGCTTGAGCAGCCTTAAAAGTGCAGTGCCTGGAATTGCTTCAAAAGGCTCTTCTACCTATGGCTTTTGTAATTCTCACCCAATAGCTGGGTAGGATTATGCAAATGTGACATGCTTGTGACCCAACAGGAGACTGGCTAGTTGGTTAATATTATAAATAAGGCGCATAGCACCCTTGTGGGGAATGCAAATAAGGTTATGAAAATTAGGACCTAATTGATAATTGGTCAGTTTGGCAGCCAGTCCATTTTAAAACAAGCCATCTCAGTGGCACACACACCAATAAAAAGCGACCAGAATTGAGTGTGTCCTTTGAACCCAGGATCCTGTGCTTGGAGCCTCCTTATTTTGTTAGACAGAAAGCTGGGGCCCGAGTTACATCAAAATATGACATGAAGCAATAACAGAAAAGCAGCAGCACGGGGGCCAGTGAATCAGGAGACAAGCAGGAGACAGAGCGGTGGACTTTCTTCCATAGCGTGAAAACTGACTGCAGTCGGGTGGGAGGCTTGCTGGCACAGTGGAGTGCGTCTGGGCACTTATTGGCCTAGCTAAAGCGTTTTGCAGCAGTGGCCCAAGCAGCACCGAGCCCAGAGAACAAAGGCCAGAGAGAGACCTGGCTTTGGGCACGTTTGAGGAGAAGCTTTCATGATCATGAACTCTAATCCGAGTGATCCTGACCCTGTAACCTTCCTTCCATCATGAGCCTCATCGTCATGAGTACTGTCTGTGAGTTCCTTAAGGTCATTGCAGCAGATCACAGCCCCAGCAGAGAAGCAGAGATGTGGGGAGGCGGTCGGCTTTCTCCTTTAACTCAAACTCGCTGCCATCAAGTCAATCCCTACACATGGGGCCCTAACAGCTGGGAGCATGGCCCCTCCAGGTTTCCGTCTGTGAACTCTTCATGGGAGTAGAAAGCGCCATCGTTCTCCTGTTGGGGTTGGTAAAACTCTTGGAAGCATGGAGATGACTGACCTTGACCTCACAGGAATCACTCGTGGACAGTTGATTTTTTTTCCCTTGCCTTGTGAAGTCAGAGGTCAGACACTACCATCACACCACTTTTACAACAAACCACTTCCAAGATACTTCCAAAGTCAACCCT